GGGAGAGAGGGGAACGAAAATATATGTATATATACAATTTTCTCTCGCTTAATACAAACACAAACACACTTTATACACTTGCGTTTGTATAAAAAATGAGAGAGGCGAGGGAGAGAACGAGAGTGGCGAGCGAGATTCACCAGGAGAGAGGTGAAATAGCAATAGTTTGCTATAAGGTACAATTAAATCAAACTATATTTATAGCATTTAATTTGAATTAATAGTTTGCTATTATATACAATTTTCCCTAAAATTAATCATTCTAGCCGTCCTTTTTTCTTCTAGATATAGGCTTGTCATTAATGTCACATGGGAAAACCGATATATATTTTTTTCCTCTTAGCCGCTGTCGGTACCAACTTTAGAATTACTTTCAGTAAAGATCCTTTAACGGAGTTTGTATTTTTCATTTTTACCATTCAAATTCGAGATCACTTATTGAAAGTGCAAAGGATCATAATTATCTCATCACTATTTTTTTAAATAACGATTTAGGTATATCTTGCTAATTAAAAAAACTCTTTAGATTTATATTGTCTTTGCATGTTTAATGAGGTAATATCTTATATGGTCACTTAATTAAGATTTATATTTTTAAAAAAACCTCCAAATATCGATATTTTACCCAATTAGTCATGATTATGGTAGTTGAGCGTGAATGTCAGTGCTATAACTGACTAGCAAGTTGATTCTAATTAATGTGAAGTGTTATTATGTACCACTAGTTGACTTTGTCGTCTTCATCTGAGTTAACTAAAGGGCTCGTTTGGTAGGAGGGATAAGATATAACTAATTGCGAGGTTAATTTTAGGATGAGTTTACCCATGTTTGTTTAGTATAAAATTGTTGGATAATTTATCTCAAAAATGTAGTGTTTTGGAATTAATCTCAAAATAACTTGTTTCCAAACCAAACAGTCCTAAATGTTATATATAGTTGGCAATGGATGCTCAGTACAAGCCACCTCATAATTACAATAGTTGCACACAAATATCTTATGTTTGATAAACCACCAAGAAAATATTGTCTCGAAAACATTTATAGTGTGAATTTAAGCTGATGTAGAGGTAGTGTAAGAGCAATCTGTAGTTGTAATAGTATTTGATGAATGTGTAAGTGGTTGGCTTTCGTTCGTATCTTCATACTTGTCTCTTAACCCTTGAAAGTTGAGAAGATCATAATCATCATAGAATCTTGATTCCATGGTAAACTCAGGGAGGTCAAGATGATTTTCAAGAATTTTGACTACAGCAGACATAGTTGGCCTAAGTGCTGGAGATGGACTGGTACATAGCAAAGCTACATTTAACATCCTTAGAGCCTCATCCTCGTTCAAATCACTGCCCAATGTTGCATCTACTACTTCCTTCAGTTTTCCTTGCCTTTGTAGAACAAGAGCCTGAATATACAATAAAATGCAAGCCACATGTGTTATGTATGTCACATGTGTTGAAGACAGAATGAAACTTTTAGATGAAATGATCGTGCAATTCAGTTAATCCCGGAGTCCTTACCCAATCTAGGAGGCAGACAAATTTCTCATTGGGGCGATATGTCATATTGCTTTTCCCAGCAGCAATCTCTAATGCAAGAACTCCAAAACTGTAGACATCTGCTTTGTAGGTCAAGTAACCCCATAGTGCATATTCAGGAGCCATATATCCTCTGCAGAACAAAGTGAGAACCTTAACTTCATGGAGACAAGCAGGTCAAAGATATAGAGATGTTCAATTTGTATTCTTTTTTTTTTTTGTTTTGGTGTCGTTGAAGAATATTATGACACGTAGAATTAACCGTACTGTGGCTATCAATAATCGATACATTTCCTCTTTAAAGAACACAAACATGAATGAGAGACTTGTCAGAAAGTTTACATGGTTCCGGCAACTCTAGTGGTAATATGTGTGTTATTATCATCATCATCAAGTCTGGCGAGACCAAAGTCTGAGATTTTCGGGTTTAGTTTCTTGTCAAGAAGTACATTCGTTGCTTTGATGTCCCTATGAACAATTTTTAATGACGATTCTTCATGTAGGAAAGATAAGCCTTTTGCTATCCCAATGCAGATTTTTTGCCTGGTTGGCCAGTTTATTTTGAGCCGATGTTCTTCTGGACCTGCATTTTAATGTGAAGTAAAAATCTATGCATACCTTCTCGTAAACACACACGTTAAGAAATACATATTGACTTCTCATTTTAAACTCTTTCGGTAATTACCAAAGAGCAATCTTTCAACTTGTTTCACTTTTAGCTTATTTTCTGCTAGACTTATAACTAAAACAATGAAGAAGGATGATAAATTACCAAATAAAGCACGAGCCAGGCTATTGTTCTCCATGTACTCGTACACCAGTAGCAGGTTATTCCGTTCAGCACAACATCCATATAGTTGTACAAGATTTGGGTGCTGTAAACTAGAGATCATACCTATCTCATTTACAAACTCACGCTTCCCTTGTTTCGATTTGGATGAAAGCTTCTTAACAGCAATAACTGCGCCATCCGATAGTGTACCCTGTTTATTAGTATAAAAGAACAGAAAAACTGGTTGATTAAGGCTGTCTATACATATTATCTATATCGGATGTTGTTGCTAACCTAATAAAGTAGAAAGCTTGATAGAGGTAAGATTGAGATGAACCTTGTAGACAGAGCCAAAACCACCTTCCCCGATTTTATTTGCAGCGTCAAAATTGTTTGTGGCAGCTTTGATTTGTCTGATGGTAAATACACCAGTCATTGAATCTAGTCCTCTTGATTCTGTACATTTATAGGAAAAGAGAACATTTAAAAAAGGAAATGACTTCATATAATGTGGAAATTATGTAATATGAAATGCATATAGCCATAAATGTTTCTTTTCTTGAAAATCCATTATTTTCATTTGATAACAACTTTTTCAAGAAATCGCGTAGAACAGATTATATGTATGTTCAAATAGGCTGCTGGGGGTGTAGTAGCATCACCTTCTTCCTTCGCTATCTTGTTTTTGTGTCTCTTCCAAGCAACAAAAGATATTATGAAAATGAGAATTAATAAGGACACCACTGCTCCAGCTATGATGGGAACCAACTTTTTGTGATCAGGAGGGGGCTTGAAATCTATGATACAGAAAAAATAAGAGTAAGAGTATAAAATGCTCTAGCATTTGTTTGTTTGTTTTTAATATTAAAGTGATTGAGCAAATAATTCAAGTATATCCTCTGGGCTCTCTAAGAATTAAGTAATAGAATTAATCGTGCGGTGTGTTTAAGGGTGTCCTTTGTAAAAAGAGAAATAGTGAAATTACTAGCGTCAAAAGAGATGGCAGAAACTGAAGGGCCATAGCTTCCTCTTCTAGGGAGAACAGCTGTTCCTTTCCCAGCATACTGAAAGCGCACTTCTAGAGTGCTGTCTGCTACAGTTGCATTGAACTTTATCGTGAAAGGTTTATCAACTCCTCCAGCATCAGTTCTAATATCAAAATCTTTGAGCTTCCTCTCACCCTGCATCCAGTTTAAATTGTGAGCAAACTGCACCTAAACCTTGACTTAATATTCGGATGAATGTTAATTGACCTGAATATAGACATCAAATATCCGTTTTCCAAGACTTTGGAAAGATCGATTGTCTCTTATAACAATCTCTGCAAAGTGCAGTGTCACGGTGTAGTTTCCATTTGCTAAACAACGTCCGTAGTAAGTCAGAGATAAAGCTGAGAGCCGAGCTGTCGTGTACAGTTCAGAGTCATTTCCCTTAATGGAAGATATATTATTCGCCAGGTAGTCTTTTGCTGTTATGGACTTATCCCAGAAGTATCCACTGTTGCTGGCTCCCCAGCTCTCTTTCGAGGAAGTAAATTTTGCTGCACCTGCTGAATCTCTATCTGCTTCATAAACGGTGTCCCCAATAGTCACACTCTCTCCACCACAATTTATGTGCACCGAATACCATTCTGTATAGAATTAAAGCGGAGAAAGTTTCATTGGATATTATGATTTTCATGCAATATACAAGCAGAAGACACATGATTTAACTTTTGCCTCTATCAAAGTTGAGAAAACATACATATTATATTAACAATGATCAGAGCCTAGTAGAAGGTATAAACTTACTCTTTGAACATCTTGGCACACATTTCCCAAGTTCTCTGCATTAAATTGTAAGGAAGAGTCAGAACTCAGAAGGCATGAAACGGTTAATCATGATAAATCTAGGGTCCTATAAGACAAGTTAATGACTTACGAATTTTTCATTCCATTATAGCTTCTGAATAAGTTTCTGAGAAGAAGAACGAAATTTAGCTTAGAAATGACTAAGAACCTGTACCGCGATAAGAAAAATGAGTGGGAAGAAGGCATAAGGTTAAAGACTCATACAGGGTTTCCTGACAAATAGGCTCAGAGCTCTCACTGAAGTTGTTGTAAGACAGGTCTATCATGCTGCAAATAAGATTTGTCAGTGTTTTTCCAATACTATCAATGTAATGAAGGGAGTTGGAATACTTGTGCTTTCATTGCAGGATGCAAATGCTAGTTATAATACCGGTGCGTAGTAACATTTTTATAGTCCAAATTAAATTAGTTTTCCCAAAATCAGTAGGTCTAATGTTTTCAAGCTCTTTTATGTCTCTCATTTACTTCTTGATTCAGAGAGTAGAAAGCCAGGAAGCTAAGTTCATCCACTGTAATTAACTTAAGAAGTTATGAGAAGTGACTTTGGAATACTTACATAACTCATCTTAATCTAGCGTTTTCCAGAACTCTATGACGATACAAATAGGGCATGGAGAGCATGATGTATGGAGGGTAACTAAAACCTTTAGTCACCTCTATAGCTTCTAAATTTGGAGAATACTCTTTCTCTTTTTGTTCAACCAAATTCCTAGCTTGTAAATACAGAACCAAGTTGACAAGTTCACTAATGCATCTCAACAAAGAAATACAAGTTGCCGAGTGCATGACAGAGTCAGCAAGCAAGTGTTTCATAAAAAGAAATTCTTTTTAAGGGATACTATGTTCCTGCAACATTGACATTTATGTCTATATATGCTTATGGAATCTTAAGTTCTTGAATAAGTTGGCATTCTTATAGGCATGAGTTGATTTATATGCAAAACCATACTGATCAAAGGTAGCAAACTTACTGTTTGGAATTTCGACTTTTGACCCAATCTGGAATTGGCCCAGTAAGTCTATTTCCTACCAGGTACCTAGCAAAGAAACAACTACAATTCAATTGGAGATAGCAATTTGAACAACAAACTTACATAAATGAATCAAGGTTAAAAAAGCCTATAAAATGTTGGACACTAAAAGTTTCTTTGAAAACAAACATGCTTTGAAGTCTCAGCAACTTGGACATCCATGTCCAGGGTTTAAATTTTATTCATTTGTATTTTCTGTTAGAGAAAAGGACTTAGCATTGTTGAGAATATAATTCCGACGAATTGGCAAGCTAGCTAAAATAAGAATTTGAGCATCACATGTTTCATCCTTATGTCTGTCACTTACAAGAAGTCCAACTTCTTCAGACTCTCAAGATTTGGGATCGGTCCTTCAAAGCTGTTGAAACTTAGATCTCTGCAGCAAAGGAAAACCATAATCAAGCCAGAAACAAGGAAAAGGATGCAAATGAGGTTTTAATATCTTGAGATTCTAAGCTAATAACAATAACATCATGTAAATTTACAGTATTTGGAGAAAGTGATGCTTTAAGTAACATTTTTCGAAAACAAGATTCCAATTCATCCACCAAACCTGGAAGCATTTCCTTTCTCCTCTTGGAGAGACATTCACCTGCATACCGTCTTCATAAAAGGCATACAATAAATGCTAACACATAATCCATACACAATTCCAGTGAACCCTTTTTTCTGTCTCCTGAAGTTATATAAATAAACAGAATTCGCAAGACAACAATAAAGAAAGGCTCACATTGATGGCATGCACGATTAAGGAGAACGAAAAGTATATTAAGAAAGAAAGAAAGAACAAACATCAGAGTGACTGTAGATAGCAGACTTACAGAAGTTTTAATTTAGGCATATTAGTTATGTAAGGAGGAATCTTCCCAGATAAATTACAGTTCCTCAATATCCTGCAATCACACATTAGTTTCAGAAAAATAAAATAAAAACACTTCCCATTGACTGGGGAAGCTAGTGGAACTATTAATGCATAAATGCAAACTTCACGTGAACTACATACAATCTAGTTAGGCGTGTCATATTCCCAAGCAGTGGAAATTCTGAAGCACCTCCAGTCAAATCAGTGATTCTCCTGTACAGACATATAATTAAAGTTAAATTCTAACCAAACAGAAGAGAACCAAAGAAAGTATGCAGCACAGAGAACAACTCACAATTCGATCATTTGAGTCGAGACAGAAATGACTGGAGCTATAGGTCCTTTAAAACCAGAAGCTTGAATCTCTCTGTTAACCAAGCATAAAGTCTGAAACAACTAATTGCATAAATCTAGATATTGAAAGCTTTTATATACATCAAATGGTTTGAATATGCTTACAATCTTTGAAGGGTTTTAAAACTCTCAAAGCTAGGAAGTTTTCCTGTGAAGTTGTTACCTCTCAGCCTACTGCATAGGTGCCAAAAATGGGAAGAACTCAGACAAACAGGAAATGCAATATGACCTAGAGGAAACGTATATCCGGAGGAGGCACTTACAGTTCTTTCAAAGTAGTGAGTTTATTGAGTTCCTCTGGTAACTGACCTGTGAGATTATTAAAACTAAGAATGCTGTACAAAGCAAAAAAGCAACTAGCTTGTCAAAATATTGTAAAAACACAAATTTTTCATCTAAAGTCACGAGTATAGTCCGGAAGGCCTTACAGAACTTGTAGCTTAACCATGTCTCCGAGTTCTTTTGGAACAGTTCCATTAAACATGTTACTTTCCAATCTCCTGAAAGTTTTGCAGTTCAGCTCAATAAATCTTAAACTAATTAAGGACTGCTATCCTTTGTATGTGAAGAAAATGACAAAAGGACATACATATAAACTAGTGAAGTCATGTTTCCTAAGTACTTTGGAATTGGTCCGGATAGTTGATTCAGCATAAGAGACCTGAAAACCATCATAGTTTAAATTCACGCAACCTTGTAATGTAATGCCTAAAGTATTTCAGGTGCAGCGCGCTTACATATATTCCAGTTTCATATATGTCCATTGAGGGGGAATTGTACCACTCAAATAGTTGCATGAGAGATCACTGTAGGTCAAACATTGAAAATGTATTTTTATCATATTGATTTTTTATCTTTAAAAAGAAAAAATAAAGTTCCTACTGGTTTTGAACTCATAGATTCAAGTGAGTTAACAGTACATTTTGGTGAGATTTGGTAACTTCACCAGGGATGGAGGAAGAACACCAGCAAGATCTTGTCCTTTGAGTAATCTGTAACATTATAAGAAAAACTATCAAAAGTCAAAACTATAAAACAGATATTTGGGTGTGTTCTGAGGAAAATATTGTCTGAAAAATGTTCATTAATTTCTTTATGTTCCGTTGGTCAATTTTTTCAAACACATTCGAAAACAAGTTCCTTGAAAATGAGACTTTCATAGTGGAAATAGGGAAAGCAAACAAGTTTCACAAATGACATTCTACATGTACTCCTCCTCATCTTCACCCCACCTCCACACTCTAACCCCATCCTGTCTCTCATAATATTTGTCTAGATTATAAACAACTGCTTTTAAGATAATATTTTTTACTTAGTTATCCAACACAAGAAAATAACTTAAAACAAAATCTTTATTTTCCTAGAAAACCCAACAGACCAAACACACCCTAAATAACAATGCATTTTGTATAAGTAAAAAAAATCCTGACCAACTATTTGAGGACTTCCTTAGTAATTTTCCCACAGGGTGCAAATAGTTAAATGAAAATTCTATCTCAAGAATGTAATACTAATACCTACTATAGTATTGAAAGTTGGCTCGTTGATTCTGTGAAGCCCAATAAATAGATTTATAATGTTTAGATAAATAAAAAAAGTGTTTTTAAGTATTTATTTTTATATCAAAATAACAAAAATAAGTCAAATGTCTTAAGTTGAAAATCCTATATGACTTTTGATTTATAAGTCAAAAGCCATCCGACCATCCCAGCATGCTTTAAGGCAGTGTTCGTTTGGAAATACCGTTTGGGAATTTGAAAAAAAAAAAAAATCATGAATTTTAATAAAAATTTTGCGTGAAACATATCCGAAATTGAAAGATACATAAAGGAAATAAAAATATATCATGCGACAACAGCACGAGGAGATTCTCTTCTTACGGTCTCAACTTCTTTAAGAGTTAGAAAAAGTACTATATATATAAGCACAAATTAACTTTATTTAAACTTCATTTTACTCTATTGCCTCATTCACAAACTTTAACTAAAAAAACAAGAGAAATTGGAGGCAAATCAAATTATAAAGATATAAAAAGAGGCAGAGGAAGAAGGCTTACATGCTTTGTACATGACAGGAACCATTAGGGGTATCGCAATTGCAGGTTACATTGCTCACATACACTGACAAATCATCCGTTCCTGGTGTAGTCCAGCTCGTGCTTTCATCACAAGGATTCACATCAAAATCCCAATCAGTTTTCCCTAACTGCTCCCCTATTTCTCTCAGAGCATTCTCTGCAAAATCGTAAAATTAGTCGGATATTTACGTAATCACACTACAGTTTTACAACAAAAGATTCAAACTCTAATTTATATGCTTATGAGAGAAAGACATTACTTTCTTCTTCAGGTAGAAGGCGGCGAACATTTTGTGCTTCGCAAACAATTAGGAGTAAGCTGAAGGTGATGAGCAAAAATGAACAAGTGCAGTAATAAGAGGATGCCATCATCTTCTCTAACATGCAAAAAAAAAATGTTGAAGTGAATATACATATATACATAATGAAGATTTATCGAATATATAGATCTAGGAATGAATAAGATACATATATTATACATATAATATAATACGATACAATATTATTAGAGAGTTTCTGAGAATGTTTGTGTGAGACATGTTGACAAGGACATCAAATAATAGTACCGCAACCTGAAAGAAGGAATGACACATGCATGTCATAGTAAGTACTACACAAGTTTGTTTTGCTCCGTGCTGTGATTTCCCCTGCCGTTGGATCATGTTAAAGAATGACAAAAGTCCCACATCGATGGTTAATGAGATGAGTGGACTCCTTATAAGACTTGGGCAATCCTCCTCCCTTTGAGCTAGCTTTTGAGGTGTGAGTTAGGCCTAAGACCTAATCTAACAGATTCAATCAAAGATTATGAATCAATACTTCCGTAAGCAGGGAGTAGCCTACATAGATGTGGCCGGGTTAAATGGTTGGAACCTTAATCGCGAATTCAAAGAATTTAAATTTTAAATTCACTTTTGTAATACGTCTAATTTTTTTTTTAATTCTATGATTATCATTTATAAACTCATTTTTACTCATTGTTTCTTTTAGTTTTCATGTTTTTTTAATCTAGGTTACGAAAAGGTAGATTTTGCGATTTAAAAAAAAAAAAGGTTTTGTGTGATATCAACATAGTGCAAAATGATGATGTGGCGATGATATGTCATTTTCGACATTGTAAAATTAACTTTCTGATCATTTGTATTTTTGGAACTGCTAACACATATATAGTTTAGTATATAACTTTATTATTACAAAATTTAATCATGTGTCTTGAGTATTACAAATAGGTAGTTTAGTGACTTTATTTTTCTACTAAAAATGAATTACCAACTTTAATGTTACTGAAAGTTAATTGAGTAATAAACCTGTGAAAATTATCCTATTTTTTATCGCAAAGTGAAGCCAGATAAACTGGTCATTGAAAATAAATCACATTTGGTTATAGGGTATTTGTGACTCTAGAAAAGTGAGTACACCAAAATATGTTGTGAGTTCAATGAACTAGAAAAGTCAGACAAGAGTTGCTTCATGTCAGAAAAACTATTTACAAGAATAAAAAAAAAGTTAGAAGAAAATTTAAATAAAATTGACTAGTATTATCACACTTAAGATATGAACCCTATTAGTTTAAGATCATAAAATAGACATCAATTGACTTGAGGCTTGACTTACTATATTCTAGGCCCCAATTAATAATATCATTGTAAAATCATTTGTCCTTGTCCTTGAAACTTAAATAAAAAATAATAATAATAATAATAGTGCAAAATAATAAAATATTACTACAAAAAATTACTCCCTTCATTACACTCGTGTTTTCAGTTTGAGTACATTCCTTTAAAAAAAACTATTCACTCCTAATAAGAAAAATGTGTTTTTATTGATTTGCCATTAATTAAATATCTTAATTTTTTATTTAAATTTTTAATAATTATTTGATTTGATAGAACTCCACTTATTTGTTTTTGCCTCACTCATAAAAGATAAAATTTCATTTTTATTATATCTCATAGGTGGTGTATACATGTACATCACACGCCAAATGACCTATTGGAATTGAACTTGACATGCTAATTTGCTGAATAAGATGAGTAGACTATTGCCTCATTCAAATACCTTATTTAGAGTTGACAAAATTAGCCCTAAAATCATAATACGTCCAACCCGTTTAAGCACGACTTACGATGACTTCTATTTGTAAAGAATAAATCTCAATTTGGGTGAATAACATAAGAGGCAATAGCATCAATATGATGCTTTATATAAGAGTAGTAATGATTGATCGAATTTCTCTTAGCTTCTTTCTATAAATCCCGAACTTGATTAATGAATCCAATCTAACTCGACTTGATTTGTTTTTATTATTTCGACCTCCAACATGATTTCTCATAATTCCAAATCTCTTTCCTTTTATTCAAGTGTAGCAATATTTCTATGTTGAACTCGTATTTCTTGATCCATGCGTTTAACCCATAAACTCAACTCCTCGAGGAATTATTATAGATACATTGATAAGAAATTAAAAGAGCAACTTAATACTTTTTCAAGATAATTATCCAATATAATAAAGGAGACAAGTGACAAAGATATTTGTTATCCTTTTGCTAGCCGTCTACTTTGAAATATATAATTTTGATAGAAACAAATTAATAAACAGTGTGTATATAGTACCTTAGCATTGAAAAGTCTAGTGGAATTTGGATCCAATGGGACATAATAACATGTGTAGACATTGGAATAATTTTTTTTCTTTCAAGTCGACGTACAATAAGACCAAAATTGAACATGACATAATTAAATGTGATGACCTCGTTCAATTTAAGGAAAATTACATAAATACACAACTTATTTTATTCTATTTTTTATATTTTTTTATCATTTGAAAAAATTATAAAAATCGCTACTCTTTCATATTCTCGGATACAACATTTTACGTGATGTATCAGTTGGACACATCACTTTACGTGATGTATCGGGACGTACGCGATGTATCCAAAATCGAGACGTGATATATCAAGATGTTTTGTGATATATCCAGATTCCACCAAATTTAAGGAATTTTTATAATTTAAAAAAAAATAGAGATATGATGTAATTAGCTCTCAACCGTTAACACCATGTTTGATAAAATTTCTAATTTAATTTCCTTTTCTACACTTTGCTTCCATAAATTATGCACTTCCACGATAGAATAAATAGAATTCCTCAATTCTTAATGAAAGTATTTGAATTCGATCCTAGTAATTAAATTACGTTTTATTGTATCTCCCTTTTTCCATACCTAGCGTTTTTAACAATGTCAATTATATTTCATATCTTCTCTTCGGGTTATATTTGGTACCAAAAGAAAGGCTGCTAGAGAATATTTTTACATCAAACATAAGAAACTTGCGCTTGACTTGAAAAGCAAAATAAAATAATAAATAAATGTGAATATCTTATATACTGACAAGTCTTTAATCGGGGAAAATTATTAGTATTATTATTTTTTTTATTTTTTTTTAAAAGGTCCTAGCATTGGAAGTCTAGTGGAATTTGGATCCACTGGGTATTATATAATACGTGAACATTAATTGGAATCAGTGGCGGATCTAGGATTTAGAGTCCGTGGGTGCCAAATAGACTTATCGATTAACAATTATAAAAAATAAAATAAAATGTGCCAGCTGTTTTTCCTTAAAAACACGTGCTTGGAGCCTTTTTTTTTCTTAAAAACCGTCTGCAGCAAATTTCTCAAGAAAATAGGTACAAATGGGATTCAAACCTGCAACATCAGCCTTCTAAAGTTGCCCTCCTACCGTGACACTACAAGCCAGTTGTGTTCTCTGGGTGGCACCCTTTATATTTATATAAATATTATATATATATACCTATGTATATATAGAGTTTCCGTCAAAGTTCGGAAGTGGCGTGGCACCCCCACACCCCTTCATAGATCCGCCCCTGATTGGAATAATCTATTGTGTTTTGAAGCGGACAAGAAAAATAAAATTATTGCTAAAACAAGGTTAAAATAGAAAACAAGAGTAATCTTTCTTTTCATTTTATTTTCTTTTCCCCCCTTCCCCACTTCATGTCTTATCCTACTTAAAATGCACGGATCCAAAAATAGCCACCTCTTTTGTATTTATCATTCTTACTAGTTATTGGAAGTGTGCGTTGCACGTTTTTCTTAAATAATAATCTATTCATCACATATTTCATGCAATCAACAAATTTTAAAAGTTTAGAAATCGATATTGTGCAACATAAAAAAAAATGTAAAGAAATAAGAAATTCTTAACAAATAAATATAGTGAATCATTGAATTTATCACATATAATTATAGTTATATTTTATTCCAGGATTATGATTTATGATGCCACCAAAGTTGAAAGAGAGAATAAAAAAATAACAAACAAAAATATAATTGAATGTGATAATACACAGGTGAAGAAGGAATCAAATAAAATAAGAGACTTTGAAGTCAATAATTAAACCCTATCACTCCATTTCTTATGATTTATTTGATAGTGTCCAGTGCTTTATTTATAGTTTGCAAGACCAATTATTTTATTCATTCAATTAGAGGAAATGAAATGATAAAAAGTTTTCAAATTTAATTTGTAGAAATGAAGAGTCTAGAAATCATGATCTTTTATTTTTCATCTTTCTTAATTGTCTTTCTTATTTTATTGTATTTAAAGTTGATTCAATTTTTGACTTAGCACCTTTTCACTTTAGTATTTAGTATTAAATATTTAATTAATTATATATTTAATTTAGTATAGATTAAAATGATAATTTAACTTTACACTTTAAAAAATTTCACTTTTAATAATATTAATTTCTAGACACATTCATCGTATGTGTCCGACCCGTGCAAATAGTATCTACAATATATTTAAAATATAGTGAAAATATCACATCTTTGTTAGCTTCAAACATCTCTAAACACATAGACTCGATACAAATAGAAAAATTAATATTTCAAAAAGATTGTGAATTCAAAAGCACAAAGTAAAGCCATTTAAGAAAACTAATACTCATATTTACCAGCCAATCAACAAAATATAAAGGAATAACTTTAAAGCTCCGCATTTTCTTTTTACAATTCTCATGATACCTTTAAAAAAAAAGGTAGTGAATACAATGTCCGTGAATTTCTTTTATGAACACATAAATCGGATTTATGAGCTAATACACATGAAAAATAAAAAAAGTTGGTTAATTTCTAAAAGTTGACTCGTAAATACGAAAATATGCCAAAAAAATTGTGGAACTATATGCAATGCTTCCCCAACTCATTATTTTAAAATAGTTTTGTCACTTTGTATAATTTTTAAATAATGTGTACGCTTTAAGGCAAATCTATGAAGATCTAAGGGGTATCACAAGACGCGGCTTTATCAAAGACATTTGATAAATATATATATATATATATATATATAGTGATAATATTTTGTGTAAATGGTGTGTAGCTCGGATGGTTAAG